TAGCAGCAAACGAAAATTGTTTAATTTATATAATAAGTTTACCGACAACGGGAACTGCAGAATGTAGGTCTACAGAAATACGACCAATAAAGAAAAACGAAGTAATAAATAAAATAATGTTTAAACTAATATTATTATGTCCAAACAAAGTTTATGGCATATATACCAATTGTAAATCATATAACAGCATATAAATTTGCCCTAAAAACGCAGTAAAAGATATATCGGATGATGCATGTATCACACATTTATTAAATAGTAAAACGGAAAATTGTACGAAAATTAATAATGAACATATAAAATCGGTCGAAGAAATTTCAAGCGACTTAATATTTTTAAATCAGTTTAATGATGTAATAAAAATTAATAATGAAAGTTTAATGGTAAATGGCACATATTTAATAAAATATCATAATGCTAGCTTAGAAATAGATGGAATATTGTACAACTCAAATATGATAACAGGAAAAAAGCCATTACCAGCAATATTACAGCCACTATCTAAATATAATAATTTAGAAGAAATATTGTCATTAGAATCAATAAAAAATTTCAAACTAATGAAACTATACATTTGAATCTATTAAAAAAACAAAATAATGTATTTTTCTCAATAAATATATTATCAATGTTTGTAATATTAATTTTAATAATATTAATGTTCAAAAAAATGAAAATTAAAAATAATTCTAATATAACTGAAACCAATACAAATGTAATCGGTATTCAAAATTTGTCAAGATTTTTTGTAAGAGCGTCGAACGAGGACGTTCGAATTTAAGGGTGGAGAAGTTAGCACCAAATAAGCTATCCCTCCCTAATTATATCAAACTAGCAAACTAAACGTAAAGTGCAATACGACTCTTCACCTGAAGGCCATATTGCACGCGCAATTAAAAAGTGGTGACCGAACACTTGTTTCCTGTGGGAACGGAATGTCAACCGTTTCCCGTAAACAACAGCGGCAGCGCTGCTTTAGAAGTTAAGCTTAATGTTAAGTAAAAATAGAATTAAGATTGAGTGGAAATTATGATACCAACCAATAAAGGAGTTACGCTCTACTAAAAAAATTTATATTTTTTTACGGGTTTTAGTAGAAGAAAACCTAACTTGTATATGTAATAAGGCTGACCTTGGCATGTTGCAGATCGGAATGCCTTAGTTGTACGAAAGGATCATATGTTATTCCTTTAACCTTTCGTTTAAGTCTTTGGATAAATCTAAACATGTAAGCGGTTACTCTTAGTGCTTTTGGGAATAATGAAAATCGATGTAATATATCATCTTCATCAGGAGTGATATGAAAATTTTTAATTTTCCGAATTTCAAGAGCTTTTATATTGCGAGCGGGAGACTTTGGCTAGACTTCCAGCAGAGTGTAGTGCTGGTGGGATGAAGTGGTTTGCAACCTCTTGTCCCTAGATCTGCTGGATTATCTGCATTTGCAACAGTTTGCCATTGTGCTGGGCCAACTAAGTCTAATATTTGGGATATACGGTAAGATACATAAGTCTTCCAGGTATATGGTGGTTTTTCTAACCATGCTAAAACTAGTTCTGAGTCTTACCAAGTTGCATTTTGTGATTGGGTAATTTGAGATGGGTTTGGACAATTAAAACTAGTTTTGATAATAGAAGTGCATTATTCAGTTCGAGCCGTGGCAGGCTTAGTGTCTTCAGGGGAGGAACTTTGGCTTTGGCTACCAAAAGACGTGAAGATATTCTGTTATCATATTCAGTGGGTACGTAAACTGCACAATAGGCCTTTTCAGAGGCATCACAGAAGCCACTTTGTTAAACGTATGGGTTTTACTTGCTCATCCATTCATCATCAGTGCCATCTTGCCACAGGTCTGGAATGAGGATTTTTGCTTGAATTATTATTTGCAAAAGCCATCCTGCGGGGTCAAAAAGTTTTGCCACCGAGGAAAGTACAATATTTAACGTTTGGTTATGGCGGATATTGTAGATATTGACTCAATTGTATATGAGAATTGATCTGTTATCTCATTCCATTGAATCCCGAGGGTTTTTGTACTACTGGCATTTTCAAATTTAAGGAAGTTGGTATCTAATAAGTATTCCCTTTTTATGTTTCTTATTATCTCGGGATGATTTGATGTAATTTTCTTTAGGGAGAACGCAGCGGAATTTAGTGCTTTAATCACTTGAGATAGTGATTCGCAAGCTAAAGAGAGACTGTGGCTACCTGATAGAATATCGTCAACGTATGTTTGTTGCTGTAGCACAGAAGTTGCTAAAGGTAAATTTGTTTGACAGGTTGTTGTCAATTCATGTAATGTCCTAATGGTAAATAGGGTGCACAATTGATGCCAAAGGTAACTGTTTTACGTTTGTAGGCGCTGATTGGAGTATTAATTGATTATCGGAAGACTATACGTTGGAAATTTTGATCATCTTAATGTACTAAAATTTGCCTATACATTTTCTCTACAATTCATCTCCATTAACAACATATTTAAACATGCGCTAATTTAGTATTAGCAGCATGAGATCAGGTTGTAATGTTGGCCTTGTGTATATTATATTATATCTTTGAGTGATTTTCCTAAGCTCGTACACTTTGAGGCATTAAAAACAACTCGTACTTTTTGTGTGATTTTATCTGGTCTTATTACCCCGTGATGTGGAAGATAAAAAGATAAATATCTACCTTTAGATATTTTTTCATATGGTACAGCTTCTTCCATATTATTGAGGATAGAGATGATGAGATATTCATCCATCACGTTATCATATGCTGATTTAAGCTCGCTTTTCTTTATCAGGCTTTTTTCCAAGCTTAGGAATTGCTGGACTGCTGATATTCTAGAGTGGTCTAGAGCTATAGTTTCTGGAAAGGTGGGCTTGAATGGGAGTCGCACAACATAACGACCATGTTCGGTTCTTGCTGTGGGCTTGTAACAGGCTTCGCATGCCAGGTCCTCTTCGGAAGGTTGTGTGATCTGGGGTAATTCTTCTACTTCCCAGAATTTTTTGAGTTGTGAAGGAATAATATTTTCTGTGACGTGGCCACTTAATATCCATCCAAAAATTGGGTTTTGGGCTAACAATTTATTAGAGATTTTCTCTATACCTTCAAGAATTATTTGAGGTATTAAGTCGCTGCCCAATAACATCTCGATTTGTGATGGGTTATGGCCCTTGGGATCTGCTAAATTGAGATATGAACACTTTTCCCACCGTTTTTTATTTACTTTATAGCTTGGAAACAAATTATTGAGCTGCGGTAGAACTGGCTTGTGCATTTATTCGTATATTTGCGTTTGGAGAGACTATGGTGATTGGGCAAACTTTATTTGAATTTTGTATAATTCTTCTGCCCATTCCTGAAATTTGAAAACTTGAATTTTTGACTGGCAATTTTAGCCGATTTTGAGCTTTTGATGATATAATATAACGGATCTTTGAGAGCCTTGATCTATTGATGCTCTTAATTTGAATAAATCTCCCTTTTGTTCTATAGAAATGACCGGTGTGGGTAAAATAATTCTCTGAGTGAAAAGCTTAAATTTTTGCTGGTTTTGAGCAGCATGGGTGTTACTCTTTATTTTCGGGATTCCGGATTTCAATGGGTGACATCGTCGTAGACCGTACACATAACTAAATTTGCTTTATAGTTTCTCTGGCAGTTCCGCGTCCTCAGTATCTAGTATTGTATCGTACGCTGCCAGAACGCGTGCCCATGTAAAGGGTGTTTTTTTCGAGGTATAGAACTTTAAGTTGGCATTACTGTTCAAGATGGCGAGCGATTTAATAGCTGTCAATTGATTTATTCTCAGTTTGGTTTGGCAATTCATCATGAATAGACTTATGCCTGAACAACGCTTGCAAATAGTGCAATTTTATTTCGAAAATAATGGTTCTGTGCGGAATACGTATCGCGTACTACGTTCATTTTATCGTGTTTAGCGACGACGCACACTTCTGGTTGAATGGCTACGTGAAAAAACAAAACTGCCGCATTTGGAGTGAAGCTAATCCTCAAGTGTATGTCGAAACACCGTTACATCCAAAAAAATTGCTGTTTGGTGCGCTTTATGGGCTGGGGGAATCATTGGTCCGTACTTCTTCAAAAACGATGATGGCCATAACGTTACAGACAATGGTGATCGGTATAGAGCCATCATTACTAACTTTTTCATTCCTGAATTGAACAACCGTGATGTCCAAGAGCTGTGGTTCCAACAAGACGCAACATGTCACACAGCTCGTGCCACTATCGATTTATTGAAAGACACGTTTGGTGACCGCCTAATTTCACGTTTTGGACCTGAATTGGCCTTCAAGATCTTGTGATTTAACACCGCTAGACTACTTTCTTTGGGGTTATGTAAAGTCATTGATCTATGCGTATAAGCCACAAACGCGTAACCATTTGGAAGACAACGTTCGCCGTGTTATTGCCGATATACGGCCACAAATGTTGGAAAAAGTCATCGAAAATTGGACGTCCAGATTGGACCACATCCGAGCCAGCAGTGGCGGTCATATGCCAGAAATCATATTTAAAATGTAATGCCTCTAGATTATCTTTCGGATAAATAAAATTCATGTCAATCAAATAATCCATCGTTGTTTTATTGCAATCTAAAGGTCTATACCTCTAAAAAAAATATTTGTATAGTTTGTATGTATGTATATTCGTGTTTATTGTATGTATCTATATACATTTCTTTAAAAGGAACGCGAAAATAAAATTATTGCAAACAACAAATGTATAGATATGTGTATATATATTAGCATGCATATGTATGTATGTTAATATTACTTTTCATATGTTTGTACTTATTTACTGTGTAATTTTAAGTTATACTTGTATTGATATGTGTACATATACAATATATGTACATGCATACATGTAGCGTGTTTTTGTAAAGTTTCGCTGAGATTGCCTGATATTATTATTATATTATATATATGTATATACAAGTATATTTTTACCTATTTATTTTATTTTTACAACAATTAATATATTACAGAATGTCGTTATATACAAAGTACACAGCTTTATTGTCATTAGACAATACAAAGATGTTTTCTCTAGAGCTTACTCTTGAAAGAGCGACATACAGTTGGCCATGTGAAAAACAGTCAACGCCAAAATCTAAACCTTCAACGTTGAGGGTTTGACCCTCCGACCTTTACCGGAAACTGTAAACGTTCAAATTGGAAGGGTATATCAGATGGTATCAGGGGGATTCGGGGAATCAATACACTTTTCCAGTAACACATCCTGTGAGTACTGTGCACTCTATTATGAAAGTTTTCAGTGATTTTACCAGCAAACGCGTGCCATTGCAAAGTTTACGTGCATTCAGGTTTCTTAATAAAATTACAGGACAACCTACTTTCAACATGTATGTATATTCGTGTTGTATGTATCTATATACATTTCTTTAAAAGGAACGCGAAAATAAAATTATTGCAAACAACAAATGTATAGATATGTGTATATATATTAGCATGCATATGTATGTATGTTAATATTACTTTTCATATGTTTGTACTTATTTACTGTGTACTTTTTAGTTATACTTGTATTGATATATGTACATATACAATATATGTACATGCATACATGTAACGTGTTTTTGTAAAGTTTCGCTGAGAGTGCCTGATATTATTATTATATTATATATATGTATATACAAGTATATTTTTACCTATTTATTTTATTTTTACAACAATTAATATATTACAGAATGTCGTTATATACAAAGTACACAGCTTTATTGTCATTAGACAATACAAAGATGTTTTCTCTAGAGCTTACTCTTGAAAGAGCGACATACAGTTGGCCATGTGAAAAACAGTCAACGCCAAAATCTAAACCTTCAACGTTGAGGGTTTGACCCTCCGACCTTTACCGGAAACTGTAAACGTTCAAATTGGAAGGGTATATCAGATGGTATCAGGGGGATTCGGGGAATCAATACACTTTTCCAGTAACACATCCTGTGAGTACTGTGCACTCTATTATGAAAGTTTTCAGTGATTTTACCAGCAAACGCGTGCCATTGCAAAGTTTACGTGCATTCAGGTTTCTTAATAAAAT